ATCCTGATGGTGCTGATTCCTTGGTCCTTTTGCAGAGTGATTTGATGGGTGCATGATTCATCTATTTTTTACATTTAATAATCAGGAATAGAGCCATCCAGTGTGGAGCTAAAATGTAAGGCTAAGAAGATAAGTTAACCAGGGTCCTAGCCCCTGAAAAGCTCACTATCTCGTTAAGAACAAAGAAAGACAGGAAGATTAAAGATTATTATATGGCACACAAAATAATTTAACAGAGATATTTATGAAGTAGAAAGAGGACACAGACAAATGTTTCTTGAACACGACACCAAAATTAGTTGGCTCTCATGACAGAAACAGGTGAGTGAATAAATGAATGAATGATTTGACATTTTACCCAGAAGGGATATTATATGTCAGGCGTTGTGCCTGGCACCAGAATGAAGGCCATTAAAAGGCTGTACTTGTCCATAGTTGTGTTTTTTAAAAAACATCTGTTAAGTTATAATTGATATACAAGAAACTACACATATTTGTATTACAATTTGATAATTTTTCATGTATGTAAACATGAACTCAACCTCGCAATCAAGATAGTGAACACACCCATCATTTTCAAAAGTTTCCTCATGTCCTTTTGTCTTTCCTACCTCCTGCCCCTTCCCACAGCTTCCCATTTCCAGGCAGCCATCAATTTATTTTCTGTTATTATAGATTCATTTGTGTTTTCTAGAATATTCTATAAATGGAAACATACAGTAAATACTTCTTTTTTGGTCTGATTTCTTTCACTCAGCATAATTCTTTTGCTATTCATCCATGTTGTATGCATATCAATGTCCATTTCTTTTTATTGATGAATAGTATTCCATTGTATGGATATACCATGATTTGTTTAACCATTCACTTCTTGAATGTGTTGTTTCCAATTTTTGGCTAATTCTAATAAAGCTTCTATGAACGTTATGCTTTGCATTTATTTTCTCCCAGTCTGTGGCTTGTCTTTTCTTTCTTTTCAGTATATTTTTAAAGAGCAGAAGTTTTAAATTTTGATGTAGTCCAATTAATTTTGGTGTCATGTCTAAGAAATATTTGTCTAACTCAAGGCCCCAGAGATTTTCTCTTATGTTTTCTTAGAAAAGTTTTGTGGTTTTAGGTTTTACTTTTGGATCTATGAGCCATTTTGAGTTAATTTGAGTAGATAGTACAGGATATATATTGAAGCTCTCTATTTTTTGGATATGGATATTAAATTGTCACAGCATCATTTGTCAAAAGATTTCTTTCTCCACCTTTCTGCACCTGTGTCAAAAATCAATTGCCCATTTATATGTGGGTTTATTTCTGGACTCTCTATTCTGTTCCATTGATCCATTGTCCAACTTTATGCCAATACCATATTGTCTTGATTATTGTAGTTTTATAATAAGTCTTGACAGAGATAGTGTTGGTTCTTCCACTTTGTTCTTTTTCAAAGTTGCTTTGGCTATTCTAGATCCCTATTAAGTTTAGAAAGTAAAATAAACAAAATAAAAATCTCTGGGGATATTGGTTGTGATTACATTGAATCTTTTTATTTTTATTTTTTTTATCTTTTTTGAGACAGAGCCTTGCTTTGTTGCCCAGGCTAGAGTGAGTGCCGTGGCATCAGCCTCGCTCACAGCAACCTCAAACTCCTGGGCTCAAGCAATCCTACTGCCTCAGCCTCCCGAGTAGCTGGGACTACAGGCATGTGCCACCATGCCCGGCTAATTTTTTCTCTATATATTAGTTGGCCAATTAATTTCTTTCTATTTATAGTAGAGATGGGGGTCTCGCTCTTGCTCAGGCTGGTTTTGAACTCCTGACCTCTAGCAATCTGCCCGCCTTGGCCTCCCAGAGTGCTAGGATTACAGGCATGAGCCACCACGCCCAGCCTTACATTGAATCTTTGAATAAATTTTTGAGAGAATTGTCATCTTAACAATACTGAATCCTCTAATTCATGGGCATGATGTATCTGTCTATTTATTTAGATCTTCTTTAATTTTTTTCCAGTAGTGTTTTGTAGTTTTCTCTCTACAGGTTTTGTAAATGTTTTATTATGTTCATCCCTAAGTATTTCATAGTTTTTGATGTTATTATAAAGGTATTATTATTTTTAAAATTTCTATTTCTGATTGTTCATTGCTAATAGATATAAATATGATTGATTTTGGTATATTAATCCTGTATCCTGTAACCTTGTTGTTATGGGCTGAATTGTATTCTTCCCCTCCTCCCAAATTTATATGTTGAAGTCCTAACCTCAGAATGTGACTGTATTTGGACATAGGATCTTTAAAAAGGTTAAATGAGGTCATTAGGGTGGGCCCCAATCCACCAAGACTGGTGTCCTTATAAGAAGAGATTAGGACAGAGACATGTGCAGAAGGAAAACTACATGAAGAAGACACAGGAGAAGGTGGTCAACTACAAGCCAAAGGGAGAGGCCTCAGAAGAAACCAACCTGCCAACACCTTGGTCCCAGACTTCTAGCCTCCAGAATTGTGAGAAGATAAATCTCTGTTGTTTAAGCCAACCAGTCTGTGGTACTTTCTTATGGCAGCCCTGGAAAACTAATACATTTATTAAACTCACTTATTAGTTCTAGTAGCTTTTTTGTAGGTTCCATAGGATTTTCTGCATAGACAATCATATACTCTAAATAAAAATAGTTTTACTTCTTCTTTTCCAATTTGGATATCTTTTATTCTTTTTCTCATCTAATTGCATTGGCTAGGCCTTTAAGTACAACGTTGAATAAAAATGGCAAGAGCAGACACCCTAACTTTGTTCTTGATTTACGGACAGGTACCACACCATCATTAGGTGTGGTATTAGCGATTGGTTTTTCACAGATGCTCTCTACCAAGTTGAGGAAGTTTCCTTCCTTCTAAGTTTCATAGCTTTGATTTTTAAAATTCTATTTCAAAAGTAGGCAAATGGGGACTCTGCAAAGTTAGGCAAACCTTCCTTACAGTTGTAGGTAACTAGTAAGGAATATGTGGAGAGGTAGTGACAAGCATGGATTCTAGACCCAGATTACACAGGTTCAAATCCCGGTTTTGTACTTACTAGCTATGGGACTTAGGGGCAAACTACTCACTTCTTTGTCCTTAATTTCTTCTTCTGTAAAATGGGACCACTAATAACACCAACTTCATGCGTTTCTCATGAGGATAAAAATGTATAAATGTTTATAATGTGTCTAGAACAGTGTCTGGCAGATAATAAGTGCTGTATACCATATTTTTCTCACGTTCCTTTAAAATCATGGAAGACAACTAGATACTGCTTCCAGAGGCAAGAAGCCCATCTTGCTGGCTTTGAAATATAGGTTTTGCTCCATCTTTTCCCCACCCTCCGCTGCTCTTAGTGGCACAGTTAGAATCATAGACTGGTAGAATTGTCATCTATTCCTACCTCCAGCCCAAGGTAGGACTCCCTTCTGCATGTCACACCTGATAACTGCTGGCTGCCTTCTGAGTGAGACTTCTTCAGGCTGACTGCATGTTTAGGAGGTCTAAGTTTCTCAGCTAGGGAAGGCTGATGATGTCTGGCCTTGAGGTGACAGTGAGGTTTCTCAGGGACGAGGAAGCTAAGTTTCCGTGCTTAATGTATGCACTGCTAGGTCCCTCAGTTGCTTCTGCCTTGACACCTGAAATGGGTGTTGGCCTCTCCTAGAAGGGTAGCCCTCGGCCAGAAACGCCAAAGAGAGATTCTCCTGGGAACTGGCAGCTCCTCATTCTTACCACTAGGGAACCAAATTAGGGACAAGGATAGTAGGGCTGGCTTCTCTTCCTTAGGAACTGCCTTAGATCCTGAGTCAACATCTGAGAAGTCTGGGCTCCTTTAATTTAGCCCCATTGGGGGTGCCAGGGGAATTAGGTTCAATCCTTCCATGGCATGTTTAAAAAACGTAGAAAGGACTCAACAGTGATTCTCAGGAATTCTTGGATAGAGGAGCTCTTGATTTCAGATTTAGCATGAGTTTTTTCCTGATTGAGCAGCAGGTTGTTTTGCTCACTTAACACTATTGTTACATAAACAAGCAGGAGATACTTGCTACAAGCATAGTCAAAATTTTCATCTGAATTTTAGCTAATCAGGATTTAAGGACTGAATCAGATTTTGAATTTTTAAATCTCCTGAGTCTTACAGCTGTCCTTCCCCCGCTTTCTACTAAATGCTGTAGTTTAAGATTTAGGGAGTTAGGCAAAACACACTGGCAGTGCCAAGAATTTAAATAGGGTAGGATTCTCTGGCCAGTAATGTTAACTTATGTTCCTTCCCCCTTTTTTTGCAGATGGTAGGAGAGAAAGACTTGAAAATTATTGCGTCTGCAGGGAGTCTATAGGAGCAAGTGGGTTCTAGACATTGCTCAAATCTTCTTGGTTCCAAGACTATACTTTTTCTTAAAATAACCTTGAGAATTAAGTGCAAAAATATGCAAACGTCATATTTGCTGTGTGCATTTATAAATGTGCGACGTAAAGGTGTGTTTATGCATCTAGCAATTGCACTGCAAAGCCATCTGCAGCTCATAGCCCAACCAGTCTTTCAAAATACTGCTATGATGAACTTAAAATCTTCAACTTTGCAAGGAGTTGCCCACAATGTACCTTTCTTGAATTTGCATAATTGTGTACAAGCACACAAACCGTTTATACAGGATTTTAGCCTGCTTTAAATGCTAAAAAGGTCCCCATGATTTGTTTAAAACACACATTCAAAACTTTATTAAAAGCTTTTTTTCAAAAATAGTTTCATAAAGCTAGACATCAGCAAGCCTCGATCGAGGGGTGGAAAATGAATTGTATATCTTTAAACCGCAGAAGTTAAAAGGCGTTTTTTTTTTTTTTGTGCTCGCTAACAATGGAAACTTTTTTTTTAAAGTGTTTCCCTCCCTCGGTCTTGCCAAGCAATAGAAAAAAAAAAAAAGAAGAAAAGAAAAACTTGTTCCGCTGAGTTCAACCCCAGACAGGCTCACAACTTCCTTCCTGCTTTCCTCCCCCACCCCCCGAGCCTCCGCCTTGCCTTTCTACCTCCTCCCTCCTCCACCCCGCAACAATTTTTTTTTTTAAATCGTACATGGAACAAACACTGAAGTAGCCCGGAGCAGACACTGACAGGGGTAGTGTCTCCAGCGCCGAGAGGGGCGTGCAGGGCCGGCTCGGCGTCGCCACCGCCCCGATCGCTGGGCCCTGCACCGGGGCTTTCCCCCTTTTGCGCTCCCCCTTTTCTGTGTCCCATACCTTGCTGCGGAAATTATTTCTGGGCATTCTTTCAAAGCTACTGCGTCCCTACGAGGTCTGCGCCTCTGGGCACACAGTGTGCACAGGACCGGGGAACCCGAGGAACTGCAGGTAAGTTGAGCGGCTTTTTCCTAGTCCTGCCCCTGCACCCCCTTCCCCTCTCGGCTCGGGAGCGGTCTGGGCGTTCCAGGTTCCGAAACAGCGCACCGGGGTAGGCTGGGGAGACGGAGAGGAGGGGACTTGATTTTGGAAGGTGGCGTGGAGTGGCGGCGGGGACAGGAGGAGCGAGGAGCTCTCGGCGCTTCTCCAGCCCGGCTTCCGGGCCGCTCGCGCGCGCCGCCTCCCCTGGCGCGCTCCGGGAGTCGGCGGGCTCGGGCCGGGCGGCGGGGCTGGCGCCGGGCGGCGCTGCGGGGGATGCAGAGAAGCCCCGCGCTCGGCCGCGCCGCAGTGGGGGGCTCGGGGCGACGGCGCGGGGGGTTTGCAGAGCCCCGGGCTGTGCGCGCCCAGGGCCGCCGCCAGGCGTAGCTTGGGGCGCCCAAGTTCCTCCGAGTGGGCGCGGGCCCCGGAGCCCGCAGGGGCGCCGGCGCCCTCAGTGACAGGACTGACTCGCTGTGCGCGCGTGCACACACAGACACACACACGCACACCCCTCCCTCTGTGGGGGGCGACGGCGGGGGGCCGTGAGTATTGGTTCCGGTACAGGGGCCGTGCAGAACCTCGCCCCGGGCACGCGCAGGCGCGCCCACACTTACAGCACACCCTTGTTTAGGGACAGGCGACAAGGCCAGCGCTGAAAAATGCTTCGGCCGCGGCCCCGCCGTCCGCTCAGGCCTTCGTAGGCCGGGAGACGCAGCCCCAAGGCCAGGGTCCGGGGGTACCGGCGGCGCCGGCGGCGGTTCGGGGAGGCGGGGCCAGCTCGGGTCCCTCCGAGTCGGTCTCTGATGCCCAGAGCGCGCGGAGCAGGGAGACCCTGAAGGCCAGAGGGGACTGCCCCTTACCCTCCGTAGCCAGAGTTTGCCCAGGAGACCGGACAGGGTCGCGGGAGCGTCCGCACGGGGGGCCGGAGTCGGGCGCGCCCGCGCAGGGTGCTGGGGAGCGAGCAGCTGCGCGTCCGCCCTCGCGCGCCCGCGTGGCTCGGGAGACGAGCCTCGGGGCTTGGAATCTGAAGGGACTCGGAGCGCTTCACAGCCTGCGGCGGGAGGGGCGGGTGGAGGGCACCGGGCGCGCTGGGGACCGAGGCAGCCGCAGCCCGAGTCCCGGAGCCCCACAGTCCTGCAGGTGACCCGCCCAGCGGCGCCCGGTCCCAGGCAGACTGCGTTCCCGGGGCGGCCTCTGGGCTCTGCCCGCGCCCTCGGGTCCTGACTTTCTCCTTGTGTCTCCACAGCGGCCGGCGGTTTATGGAGCTCTGGGCGGGGGCTAAGCCCGCGGCCGCGCCCCCCGCCCGCCGCCCCGGCCATGCCGCCCCGTCAGCGCGCGCAGCCGCGGCGGCCAGGCCCCCGGGGCTGAGCCGGGAGCCGCGGGACGAGGCGGCGCGGGCGGGGCGGGAGCCGCGGCGGAGGGCAGCGCGGCGGCCCCAGTACTATGGCTGTGTACTGCTATGCGCTCAATAGCCTGGTGATCATGGACAGCGCCGACGAGGCCAAGAGCGGCGGCGGCCCCGGGGCCAGCGGCAGCGAGACGCCCCCGCCCCCGGGAAGGGCCGTGCTCAGCCCCGGCAGCGTTTTCAGCCCCGGGAGAGGCGTCTCCTTCCTCTTCCCCCCAGCCGAATCGCTGTCCCCCGAGGAGCCCCCGAGCCCGGGGGGCTGGCGGAGCGGCCGGCGCAGGCTGAACAGCGGCAGCGGCAGCGGCGGCGGCAGCAGCAGCAGCAGTGTGGGCAGCCCGAGTTGGGCAGGCCGCCTCCGAGGGGACAGGCAGCAGGTGGTGGCCGCCGGTACCCTCTCCCCGCCGGGCCCGGAGGAGGCCCAGAGGAAGCTGCGGATTCTGCAGCGTGAGCTGCAGAACGTGCAGGTGAACCAGAAAGTGGGCATGTTCGAGGCGCACATCCAGGCGCAGAACTCCGCCATTCAAGCGCCCCGCAGCCCGCGTTTGGGGAGGGCTCGCTCGCCCTCCCCGTGTCCCTTTCGCAGCAGCAGCCAGCCCCCTGGAAAGGTCCTGGCTCAGTGCGCGCGGAGCGAGGAACGGAGGACGAAGTCCTGGGGGGAGCAATGTCCGGAGACTTCACAGGCCGACTCTGGGAGGAGAGAAGGGCCCAGCCTGTGCCCCTCGCAGGACAAGGAGGGAGTGGCACCTCTCCTCGGCCGGGCTGCCTCGGCAGGATCAGGGACTCAGGGGCCAGCCGCTTCGGTGAGCGTGGAGAAGGGCATGCCTGCCAGTGCTCCCCGTGGCTCGCCCACAGCTGTGGAAATTGACAAAAGAGTCTCTCTCTCGGGAACTCAGAGCTGCCCAGCTCCCTCACCGGGGCTGGTCGGAGCTGGCTTAGTGATGGACACAGAAGTGGCAGCGAGAGCCACATCCACGGAGACACACCGTCCGCAGGATCCTGCCCTCATTGAGCGGTCTGCGAGGGCTTGCGAGCCTGAGGACCCGCACCCCTGGACGGCCCCGAGGGTGAGGCAGGGGCAGTTTCTGGACAGTGAGACATGCCCAGCCCCAGAGAGGGGCGGGCCGCGTGGAGGAGAGCCCCTTGGGAAGATGGAGAAAGGAAGTCTGCCCTGTGGTGTGCGGGCCTCCAGGGCGCCTGAAGCGGGTGAAAAGCCACAGGACACAACGCTAAGTGCGCAGAGCTCGGAGCCCTTTGATGCCCTGAGCTGGTCCAGGCCGCCCAGAGATTTGGGTGCGGTAGGGCCTGGGGAGGCCCGAAGCGGGGCTCCGGTGGGCGGGAGCCCTCGGCAGCCCTCGGACGGAGGGGAGGAAGGGTCTCCAACGCTGGGCTTGCTTGGGGGCAGCCGATCGGCACAGCTGGGGACTAGGGAGGTGGAGGTGGAGATTCCTTCTGGCAGGATGCTGGAGCCTTTGCCTTGTCGGGAAGCGGCAAAAGATCTGGAAGAACTTCAGTACCTTCCTGGAGACAGGATGGGTGCGCAGCCTGGGGGCTCCCGGGCTTGGCAGGGCCCCACGGAGGAAGCCAGTTTGGCCTGGACGCGTGGCACAGGGGTACAGTCAGAGGGGACTTGGGAAAGCCAGCGGCAGGACACAGACACACACCCCAGGCTGGAGCTGCTGCCCCCAGATCAGAAGGACAAGCCTGTCCTGAGAGAGGCCTGCAGCCCCAGCACCATACCCGCCGTAATCGTCACGGACATGGGCGCGCAGGAGCACAGCGGCCTGGAGGAGGTGCAGGGAAGCCCTCTGGGCAGCCTGCCGCTGCGGAAACTGTCCTCTTCCTCGGCCTCCTCCACGGGCTTCTCCTCATCCTATGAGGACTCAGAGGAGGACATTTCCAGTGACCCCGAGCGTACCCTGGACCCCAACTCGGCCTTCCTACATACCCTGGACCAGCAGAAGCCCAGAGTGGTAAGTCTTGCCCTGAGACTTTTCTAGAGCTCATGCTGCTTTCAGCAGACCTTAGATTCCCCATGTGACTCCTTTTTCTTGCTTTCTGCTGAGTTATGAAGACTCACAGGGGAGCCCTGGGCAGTCACAGCTAGCCGTTCTCTCTCCAGGTGCGTTTGCTGGGGTGCTGACCAGGCACTCAGTGGCTTGGACACTGAATCCAGGTCACTTCTGCTATTTCCATGTAATCTTAAGAAAAGTTTTTAAGGTACTTCCTGTAGGTCACTACTCTTCTTGGGAAGATAGTCATGATTGTCACCAAAAACTTCCTGATTAATCCTGAAAGATAGCGAACAGAGTGGCTGACTGCAGCTTTTGTCTGATCAGATGAAACACTTAATTCTGTGATTCATTCAGGCTGAGGAAAACTGACAAGGATGCTGTTGAATTAACTCAGCCTCTACTCACAGGCTAGGAAAAGGAGTGATGTGATTCTCTGACAGGGCCCCAAAACCTGTAGCTGTGGTTGTGGCCAATCCACTGGGTGAGGAACCACCAGGCCTCAGTAAGTTAAGTCAGGTCATTACAGTGCTTAGTGTGGTTAGCGTAACTAAGGTGCAGTCCAATGTATGAACTAAAATGAAAACTTTGCTTTGAGCTAAGCAGTTTCTTTAGTATCAGAATATCATACTAGGTTGGATGCCTGTGATAGGCAATTCAGGTAGATAACCTCCTAATAGATATGCCCTGTTGGGTGGTATAGGTTGATATTTCAGGTATGTTTTCATTCGAATCTGGTTTGCTTCATCACACATCTTGTTCTGGCTGTGGCAGTAGACAGGAGTTTATTTCTATTACATGGTTAATCACAGTTGAAGGCTGTTTTTACTCTTGGAGGATCAGAGTATCTTACGGAAGACAAGAGAGTTGAAGCCAGCACTTCTGAAAAGATCTGGACTTTCTCTTAGCTTTTCCAGAGAGCATGGGGAATTTCCTACTTCAGTGTGCAGGGTTTGTGCTACCTTGAGGGAAAGTCTGCCTTTTATTATAGTAGGTAGCCTTCCAATTTCAGCTTGAATAGCAAATACTATTCATTATACCTCAATAACTTTCTCCACTGCAAGTGAAGGCTTTCTATTTCTACTGTACATCCTTCACTAAGGTATTTTGGACTCCAAAGCATATTTCTCTCTGACTTCCATTCAGAAATCACAGTCTGGGTTTTTGAAGATGAGGCATTTCTTTTCATGAAACTGCTTTCTGCTGATGATCTTAAGGCAAATGTGTATGCAAAATCTGGCCCATCAGCCTGTTATTTCGTGGCCAGCACAGGGCCCCAGGCATATTGCACCTGCTGTCAGGCGTGGGCACACCACCTTTAGACGGGGGAGGGTCCACCTGGCAGGGCAGGTGGAAAATGCTTCTCTCTGAAGGTGTGGCTCACACTTCCCTGCCTTCCTGCCCAGCAGTTAGAGCTCTAGTGAGTAAGAGATGGTCCCTCATCCATTCTTTCCAGTTGCTTTTGAAATCCCAACGTATAGCGGGCACAGCCAAAGTCGATTTAACTTATTCTCCAACTTTCCATTCACCCTTTCTAGTGGTGCATTAGCAGCTTCTGTTGGCTGGTTATCAAAACAGTTCGTATGTCCCGATGTTTGAAAAGGGCTCTTGTCTGGAAGAGAGTTAAAGGGAAGATAAATAATTGCAGGTGATAATTTGTTTTTTCATTTGCCAGAGGAGTGCTCACTGAGAAACCAGGGGGTTAAGGGGGGTTTTCAAGTTAGCTACCAGGTCCAGAGGTAGAAATGAGGCTGGCCGTTGGTCCAGCCTACCTCCGACCTTTAAACAGGTTTCAGACACCCACAGAGTAGAGCCAGGGAACTGCCAGCTTTGCTCTCTGAATCACGTGAGATTGATGGAGAGAGAGAGAGAGAGAGAGAGAGTGTGTGTGGGGGGGGAGGGAAGGGTGGGTGGGTAACCAACTGGAAATTATGGGATCCAAGGGACTTTTGAGCTTTGGTTGAGTGCTTCCATGATAAGCAGAGTTTTATTCTTCTTGTTCAGAGTGTTATGCGGGAGTCTTATCTGTGACACCAAAGCATCTGTTCATTTGGTCAAAAATCACTTGATTACCCTAGATTGATATTTTGTCTACAGAAGGCCAGACATCTTGATCGACTGGGTCTTTCGACTGGGCTTTCTGTGTTGGATCCAGGCTGGCCCTGTCTGAGCGTTTACCACTCTGATACGTCACATTCCCTTTTTCGGACTTTGCTGCGTCTGTCTACACTGCTGCACAACTCTGAAGCTGCACACTCTCTTATATGTGCTCACACTCACTCTCATGTGCCCACTCACACACACGGGACTGAAGTGGCCTGGTCGCCATTTCAGTCACACAGCTAAGCCTTGGCCCTCAGACCCATCCTAGACACCTGAGAAGTTTTTGGTGCTGCCCTACCTGCCCGCACAGTTACTTACCATGCCTCCTGCGGCCCATTCTTTGTTCCTACCTAGGAATGAGTTTGTGATGTGGTGTGCAGGCAAGAGGCGACAGCACATCTGCTTATAAAGCACCAGGTACTTGAAATCTGCTCAGAAGTAGTTGTATTACACACCTAGTGTGCAGGGGCTTTAATTCAGACACATTCACACTTTACTGTTCTCTGAGATCTGAACGGGACCAAATTGCACTGAACAAGGATGGTTCTCTTGTTCTTTCACACTGCTAAAATTAATCAGCAGTTATTTACTTTTCCTGTATAATTCCATGTAAGAGTATCTGGGCTATTGAAACACCAGGCTTAAAGTACTGTGTTAAAATATGAACGCATCTTACTTTAAAAAATAAATTTTATTGATTTATTCCAAAATTGTACTATCAATTATATATACAAAAACCAAAACACTAGCCTAGTTACCTGGGGGATTTATAAGGAAATATGATACAAAACATTTGCCTTCTTGGTGTTCACTATTTTTTAAGGGCTGTTGAAATTTTTTTCCTTGGCCTATTTTTTTTTTTTTGTATTGATTAGTTTTGTTGTTGTTGTTGTTGTTTTTTGAGTGAAAAACTAACTCATACCCATAGCAAAAAATTCAAACAGTTTAAAATGGTGTTATATGGGTTTGAAAAGCGTAAAAATGTTATTTTTGGATAAACCAAAGTAAAATTTCAAAGCCTTAGAGGGGCACTTCAAAAACTGGTGAGTAAACTTTTAAGTGGAAAATTCTTTTTTTGAGGAGACTGGTGAGAGCCCAGATCTGTGGGGTTCTGAGTTCAGGCTGCGCGCTGTTTTCGTCTCATGGGTACGTGGAGAGAATCTTTAGGCAAGGCCTCAGCAGCTGTCAGACCTGGGAGGACTTGGAGTCATTGACGTGAGGTTCCCGGTGTTGCTCTGATCTGTGTGGGACGGAAACCAAGCCCAGAAAGGCAAAGGGGCCCAGGCACACCCTCACGGGCTCGGCCTCTCCATGAGGATAATCTCATCGGGTCCGTCTAGTTGTGAATCTCTGTGACTATGTAATTCTGGACATTTGATTCAAAACCTGGTGTATGTGAAGTAGACATAAAGGTGTCCAGAAGTGTAACAAGATTTCTTTGGTGTATACCTCGGGCACCAAGGCCAAAACTGAGCACCTTTTTGTGCTTTTGCGTGAAACTAGCTGACTGAGCTGCCTGTCTTCTGTCTCTCTACCAGAAGAATGGTTCTTTGCAATTTCACACTGAACAAGCATCCTCAAAATAAATCATCAGTGCAGTACCTAGGACTTTCATTAATAATTAGACTGGTAGTAGAGACTGCTGGTAGGATGCCAGAACATGAACCTGAAATGTAAAAGCTGCATTCTGTTTAAAAACAAAGAGGCTTTGGCCTCCTCTGATATTAAAGTTTGGAAACTAAGGCTTTGTCTACACTGAGCCAAAACCTCACTTCAAAGACCTTGTCTTTGCAAAGATAAAAGTATTCAGCCAGCTTAAAATCTTTTTCAAATTAAAGTGAGGTATAGAGAAAAAGAAAGATTGATTCTCAGCATTGTTACTTTTCTTGCAAATGTTCGGGCTTTGCAAAAATACAGCTCAAGCCTTACCTAGCCTTTAGGTTTTATAAGAAAACAAATTAAGCCAGTTAGTTGCTGCTTTTAGAGGAATGTATTTCAGGTGTTATGTATTAATAAGTCATTTTCAGAACTTTTGTTTTTGAGTGCTGAATTGCTACCCAGTCACTTTTCTGATTTTGTTGGCACACAGCTGTTAAATGTAGTTACAAATTAGATTGGGTCTGTGTAGTTTATTTATATTCCTAAGAGTATTGATAACATTATTTAGGCTTATTTTATTTTGTCAGGTTTCAACTTAGTTATCTAAAGGTAGAATTTTAAAGTATTAAATGGAAAGAATTTTCTATTTTGATAGAAAAAAACTCTGTAGACTTCAGATAATCAGCAGGTGATTTGGAGTTAACTAAAGAACTCTTCTCAGGTGTGCTGTGGTCACATGGTCAGCATGGAGGGCTCTGTGGGTTTTGTTAGAAGAGACCCTGGCATCCTGGGTTATGTCCGTTGTGCTCTCAGTCTCATGACAAGAAAGCCTGGCAGTGGTTTTTCTTTTCCTCACGAGGTAGAATTGGCATTGTGCATGAAGTGTCACAAAATTGACGGCACCAAGCCCAATTGTGAGCTAGTTGGTAATATGAAAAGTCCTTTAGGGTGCCAGCAGCCTCATGGGATTTTGTGTGACCAGACTGTCTGCCCTTCCCATGGTGGCGGTGGTGCTGGGGACAGTCTCAGACAACCTATCATCTCCTTCAAATCATGGGTTCAGTCCATCTGAGTGTGGAGGACCACTTTGGAAGGCTGAAAGAATCTGCTGACCTGGTGCTGCGATCCTGTAGTCAAACCTGACTTCTGTAGTTCTACCACCGGCCTTAAGACTCACTGAGGTCTTCCCAGACCCCTCACCATCTTCTTACTGGGCCCCCTTCATCGCCCCATCTTCCTGGTGAAGACGGCAGCCTGAT